ACTTAGCCTGCCACAGAAACTCTGCTGTCTCCTCATCTTCCATTTCCTTCTTGCCGCTACCCGTTTCCTTGAACCAGCCCTCTTCGATCGGTAACCCATCACAAAGCTTCTAGCCAACGGCCCCCACTTCGTGATTGCATGCACCATCATCATGCGCAAGCCCTTCCCCGTTGTGCGACCAATCCCATCCTACACAACTCCATCCTCGTCCGAAGGAAAGTAAGAATAGGGGGAACCATGAGCCTGGTGGACAAAACTCTCATCCATGTACACGATCACTGCTAACCCAGCATCCTCTGCCCTCTTTGCCATGTATGTCCATCTCAACAAGAAACCGACGAATGCGAGCAAGTCGTTCGGCGTTTAACGGCGGCGTTTTGATCCTGCCTCTACGACGCTTGTAGCAGAGCCTACTCAGCAGCCCCCCTACCGAACGGTTGGACGGCTGCTCCATGTTGCAAGTACTGTGCCATTCTGCCACCTCTTCCGGCGTGCGGTACTCGACAACGGCTGGGTTGCTTCAAAAGCTGGTCTGATGGTCCCGCGCGCCAAATCATAGGGTTTCCAAAAAGTTCTACCTGCGTTGCTGTTTCTTCGTCATTTTCTTTTTGTTCGCCTCCCCACATGAAAATTAAGTCAAAAATTACCCTGTACATCGCCGGCCGCTGCTGTACCGTGTCGTCATCCGATGAGAGCAAGACCAGGCTCATTCGAAAGCTGTGGTTGCCGTCTTTCATTTGATATGTGGTAGGTCTACTGCCCTAGCTTCACTGTGTATATAAAGGCTTTGGACCATAAAGTTCGATTCCTGCGATTGAAAAAAAACTGCGAACACGCCCTGTTCAGAAAAACTTTTTCGCCGAAAAAAAGCAAACAATTGCTCCTATTAACTATGTGCCACCGTAATACTGCAATCTCCTCGATCCCCCACTTCCATCGATGTTCAGCTGGTTGCTCCTTGTTCTCGTTGCATACCATGACGGCACTCTTCTCGACGTTGGCAGACAATCTCCACTTATCTTCTTCGCCGCGTCAGTTTGCAGTTGCAGTCCCTCAGGGGTGTCCGACATACCGACCAGATCATCTGCAAACAGCGTTCCTGAAACCGACGCTTCCGTGTCCCCTACTTTTACTCCCTTCCGGACCTNTCTCTATCCCATGCCTCAAACATCTCCCTGTACGTCCCATCTATTTTTCCAAGCTCGGTCACGTACACTTTCCTCTCCTTCTTGTACAACGGACATTCCGCGACTACATGAACACGGTCTTCGCATTCGAAGCCGCAATCACATTTGAACTCGTCGTCTTCCTCGTCTACCGTCCTATGTCTTCGTCGACGTTCTCGAAGGCCTATGTCCC